AAAAAAAAATAGATCCCAGATAAAGGAACAGAAATGAAACTGGCCTGACCCATTCTGACACGGAGACCTCCATTCCATTCTCATGATGCACCCCTGACCAAAGATGGACAACGCCCATCCATCTAGAATTCTATGTTCAACCAGGGTGTCAATCAAGGGTGGGAATAAAGGCACTTTCTGACATGCAGGGACTCAAAATATATGCTCCCATCATCCTCTTAGGAAGTTGCTAGAAGGTGTGCTTCCCCGAAAATGAAGACAGTGGTGCTCATCACAGTATCCTCTGCAGTTTGGAGATTATTCATGTTAGACGTCACTCGTCTCTGCAGGCCAGAAACCATGGAGACGGAAGCTGAGTGGCTCAGGGCTCTGCCATTTAAGCAGCAGTGTGGGATCATCAGAAAGAAGATCCTCAAGATGGTCCAGATGAGAGCCCCTGGCCCAGACCCCACCTGGGATTGCACTGCTGCAGACAATCCCCTGCTTCCACTCCTTGCCAGCCCCCTCTTCCTGTGGAATCTTCTCCCCCTGGATTTAATATAAGCAGATTTCCCCCCGCCCCAGGAAAATGGTAGCATATGGTGTAAGCAAAAAGACCCTAAGACACTCTGCAGAAACCGGGTCCCTTATCACCAGCTCAAAATTGCAGATTTTCTTCCCCTTTAACGCTCACCCCAGGAAAGGATCTGGATTTTGCATTTGACGAGACAGTTTTCTGGGCACACACATACCAACCCTTCCCATTCCTGCATTCCCCCCCTGATTTTACACCAATGTTCTTAATTTATGCTGGAGATACCGCACGAGTTTATACAAAAGAAGCCAGCCCAGGCAGCCTGTTAAATGACAAGCCCCAAGTTCCAGTTGTCCTTATTTTCATCACTAATGTGTGCACGGGGACTAATTCATCTATGAGGCTCACTGTTAAAAAAAAAAAAAAAAATCTGAGGTTAATACAGCAAGAAAGATGTCTCCCCAGATAAAGACGGATGGCCAAGAATTTCTGTTGAGCTATTTTTAGCCTTGAGAAGGGAGACTGGAGAAGTAGCTGGACAGAATGGTGCTTCAGGCTATGAGGATGGCAAGTCTCTCATCTAGGGAAGGACAGCTATGGGAGAATAGGAAGGTACTGGACAGCAATACAGGAGCAGTACGGTGTCCACTTTAACCTTCAGTATGACCAGCTCAGCTCCACCCTCCAACCCTCCTCTTTGTCTACTCCTGTGCCCCCTGACCTGTTAACTCCATTCTCATTTCTCTCTCCCCAAGGGCATCTATACTGTCCTCCATGGCAGAGAGCACATCCTAACCTCTCAGATCATACAGATCAGCCTCCACTAAGATCCACACAATGGACCCTCAATTGCTGCTGCTACCACTAGTTCTCTGCAGGCTTCCTGTGGTCACTGAGATATTTTCAAGGGACAAAAGTAAGGAATGACACAAGCAAGAACAGTAATGAGTCATGATGCTCTCTAAAAACTTTCACAGGGAAGACTGTGAACGACTGAGAGAGTCTCCTGGTGATTTGTTTCTGTTTCTCAATTCATCTGCTGCTCCCAGTTTCTCCAGATGAACAGAAAGAAAACTTACTGCCACAGAATCAAAAGAGATGAGATCTGATAAGATTTCTTGGGTTAAATCGCAGATGAGGTTAAGCATCATTCTCTAAGGTTCCAATAATGATCCTCCTATATTTGACATGCCTGAAAATTTGGGCCGTAACTCACTTTTTTATCTCAACCATGAACCTAACTCCACATCAGCTCGACGGGTGGGACCAGGCACCCCCCTCTCTTGCACACATTCTGGTGTGCAGGAGGGAAGGAGTCAGCCAGGCCGAGTGCCCAGTCAGCATCCAAGGAGTGCCGATTCTTTTGAGGCTCAGGCCACAGCCAAGACACACAGCCATGGTCACCCTGTACAAGAGGCATAGCAAGGCTCACCTGTGTAATGCCCACCTTGCAGACTGCCGTGGTGGTTGCAGACCGCGTACAAGTCGTACAGGAAGTCCAGGGGGTAGCTGGTGGGCAGGCAGGCCGGCTGCTTCCAGGAGGGCCAGGGGCCTGGCACTGGCTTGGAACTGGTGCTCCTCTGGGCCACATGGGGAGCCATGTTGAGTCCAGAGAGCGGGAACCTCACCAGCGTGGAGAGCTTGTTTCTTCTCTCCCCCACCTGGCAGAACCTCTTGAGGTGGATGATGAGGATATCAGGCAGGGTCCACAGACTCAGCTTCACCATGCCCCGCTGGAGGACTTTGCAATGGGGGCACTTCCACGCGTCGTCCTGGGCCAGCTGGAAAGGAAGCCACCAGGAGCATGAGGCCTTCGCCAACGCAAGGCGGCCAGCCCCCTTCCCGGCCAGGGGGTGCCCTCCGGGGCGGGACCTGCTCCTCCTTGGTGTAGAACTGAAAACATTCATCCAGGGTACAGCTGGGCTGCTGGTGGGTCTGCTGCTGCCTCCAGACGCTCTCCGCATCCTGCACTCGCTCCTCCTGGAGGCTCCCAAACAGGCTGCACGGAAGGAGGGGACACCGGAGGTGCTCAGCGCTGCAGCCCCCCTCTCTCCTCCTGGACTGGTCTGATCTGTCTCTCCTTGTGGCAAACCCAGTGGGCAGCATCACCAGGTGAGATCACAGTTCCCAGGACCTCTGCACACTTCCGACCTTGTGCTCACCCTCTCGTACAGGAATCGACTGTCTCCCCCATCAGCTCCTAAAGGAACCAAGCCTCGGGCTCATGCCCCTAACACAATGACTCGTGCCTGGTAAGGGATCAGTAAATACTTGGACTGATAATGTCCTCTTTCAAAGTAAGACTGATGTTTGATAATAAAGAACCTAAACTGGAGGCAGACAGCCTGGGTTCCAATCCCAGCTCTGTCTCATACGAGCTGTATGACCTTAAGCAATGGCTTAACCTCTCTGTGCCTCAGTTTCAACCCAAGAAATGCAGAGTAGAGCACTTACTGCCTCATAGTACCCCACACAGGAGGTCATGAAGATTAAATAAAGTGCTGAGAGCAGTGACTGGCACAGGTGAGAGCTATCTGAGCATGTGCTTCTCCTAGCACCACCATCATGATGACCATTTCTATCACGGCCATTTATACAAGGATGTGTGCACATGGCCCTCTGTGCATGTGCACACATCCACACTGGGTCCATGTGCACACATGGGTCCATGGAAGATGTGAGGGTGCAGGCGGTCCATGGAAGATGTGAGGGTGCAGGCGGGCCATCTCAGCTCTGGGGAGGTCAGTTCTGTTGACTCACCACTCCTTCGCAGAACTGTCCCACTCCACGGCCAGCTTGATGTGTGGGGGCCCTCCCAGCTTCCTGAGGTGCAAGGCCCTACGGAGGGAACAAGGAACCTGTCAGAAAACAGAGGTCTTCCCACAGCTCCACTGGGCTCCACAGCCTGCCTCCAAATGCAGAAACCCCAAGATGATCAAACCCAGGCAAGCCAGTGACGGGGTTGCTGAGTCTGCTGGCCTAGTCCTAACCCTACCTCTGAACGTTCTCCCCCAGAGTGGGTCGCAGGGGTTTTTGAATACTACGAGGGCACAGACCAACTGTCCCACCACAGCCCCGGCCACCTTCTCAGTGTCTTCACAAGGCAGTTCCACAGGAACATCCCAGACAAATATGCAATACTGATGAAGACCCCAGAGACCTTCTGACTTTCCTACACCACAATGCAGAAGGGGCACCCTCAAGCCCACCCACCCGACCTCAAAAAGTCTCACTCCCAATGTAGAGAAAGTCTGAGTCAACCTACAGCTCCTCCCAACTGCTGGGCCTCAGCCTATTCTAGAAAAGACTGGTTTGGTTTAACAGAGAAGAGAAGGGATCAGAAAGAAGTGTGTGTGTGTGGGGGGGGGTTGGTTTGCTCCAAGATCCATGAGGACAGACGCAAGGGGTGGAGAAGTCCACACCCAAAAGACTGTTGAGAATTTGTAGCCAGACAAAAGAGGGAAACACAGATGAGTCCTAAACTGTCACCAAGATGACTCAATAGAAGTTTCCGAGGGCAGAATCGTCCCAGGGTAGACTCAAGGCGCCTTCCTGCATGACTGAGCACAGGTGGAGCCAGGATCAAGGTGTGGCTGGGAGCAGCTCTCCTGGTGCAGTGAGTCCTCCTTGGTTCAGAGGACATAACACTGGGGAGCTCTCCGTCTAAGCCCCTTTCTTAGAACCCCAAACTCCCCGTTTCTACCGTGAGGAAGGGCTGCAATTGGGAAGCTCTGCCTTGATGGTGGGGGAGTGATTTCACTCTGGGGTAACAAAATTGAAAGTCCAAGTTGGATTCCTGTCTAACTCACATCCGTTGGGCCACAGAAGGGGCAGAGGGATGGCTGGCTGGCCCAATGTTTGCTCTTAGCATGGAAAGAATCATTGGTTGGACAGCTTCATCCCCTCTCATTACAGCCCTGATTCAGACAGGGAAAAGGACATTATTTGATACACAAGGAGAGAGATGCTACGGCAAGCCTAGTGGGTACATAAACATCTCTACCCAGAAGGAGCTCAGAGTCCACCGGGGGAAGCACGCACAGAGATCAATGCAATACACCCACCATGTACGTGGGGTCTCAGAAGAAGCACTTGGCTTCTCTGGAGGGCAGGCAAGGGGCATTAGCCAGGTGAGAAGTTGAGAAGAAGAGTTCAGATTGGCAAACATTTAATGTCTATGAGATGTTTAAGTAGAACAAGCAGGTGTGGCATCTAAAAGAAAAATCTAGGCTGACGCCTTCGGCCTACAGAGAGGTGATAGATCCAAGAGCAGGGTCATCCAGGAATGGAACACAGAGGGAGAAAGCAGAGAGCCAAAGGTAAAACATGGAGGCACAATACTTAAAGTCTCAGAGAGGGAGAGGAATACCTCAAGAAGACCAAAAAAAAAAAAAAAAAAATCTAGGAGATAAATGTCTATGTGGTATATTCATTCAATGGTATATATTCAGCCTTGAAAAGGAAATTCAGACACATGCAACAATGTGAAAGAACCTTGAAGATATCATACTAAGTAGCCTAAGCCAAATACAAAAGGAATAAACACTGCACAATTGTAAATATATGAGGTATCTAGAGTAATAAAATTCATGAGGAAAAAACTAGAATTGTAGTTGCTAGAAGATAAAGAGAAGGGAAAACTGGGGGAAGCTTAATGGCTACAGAGTTTCAGTTTGGAAGGATGAAAAAATTCTGGAAATGGTGTCAATGGCTGTACAACAATGTACAAGTACATGGCAATGTAATGCCACGGAGCAGCACACTTAAAACTGGTTAAAATGGATGCATTTTATGTCATGTATATTTCATCACAATTTTTTTTTAAAGGAAGAAATTTCTAGAACCAGAAGGAATAGGCAGGGTCAGGCAGGCTAAGATGGGCTGAATGGAGGTCCTGGGAAAGGGGCAAGAGATGGAGACAGCAAGTGCTTGGTAGAGCTGTGCTGGCAGGTTGGGGTCAGAGGGGTGGAACCAGGTGGCAGTGAGATTGGGTGAGTGGCAGGTGTGGGCCAGGAACAGGTGTGCACCCGGGCTCTATCCTAGGGCCTCTCAAACCACCTATTGCAAAAGACCAGTTGGCTGGCTTGTTTCCAAACCACACAGAACACTACTTTGATCAAAAATAATAAAAATGTAACTTGGGTACAAGGTCCATTCTTTTTTTAAAAAATTACTACATGCAACGTTATCTTACATCTCGCTACCCTTACTGCTTGGACATTTCTCAATGTCTCCTCTCAAGCTCTTATCATGGACCTGGGACAATCAGCCTGTAGGCTGGCGCTGGCCTGCTGAACGGATTTTAAGGAACATAATTCTCATCTCCAACACTGAGCACCAGGAAGAGAGCCTTCTGCCCAGTGCTGCCCAAACAAGCCCCGATGGACATGTATCCTGCTTCCCTCTCTCTCTAGAGCACCCACCAGCCCAGGGATGTGGATGGGGTCTAGGTCCCCAAATCTTCCAGACTGCCCCAACCTACTTCTAGTAAAGGGAGATAATTTTTTTAAATAATAGAACTTGTACCCAAATTACATTTTTTGTTATTTGTGATCAAAGTAGTATTCTGTAATGGTTAGGAAACCAACCAACCGACTGGTCTTTCGTCATATGGAGTTTGAGACACCCTAGGAAAGAGCACACCTGTACACCTGTCCACATCAGGAAATCCTTAGGGTCTATGAGAAAATGAGCAAAAATGGGGGTGACCCACACAGAGAGCAAAATCACCCCTTAGGTAACGCACTGGCCCTTGTGGACGGCCCTGCCAAGGCTACGCACGGTGACGGGCTGTAGAGGGGGACATGGGGAGAATCAGGAAGTCACAGGCATGGCAGACACAGCCACACTGGCTTTGTCCTCTGCCCTACTTCACAGCTTTTCAGAGTTTCGGGCCAATGTTTGGGTGTCAGCCTTTCACCCACTCTAGGGGGACCCAACAGCTGGATTCAGTAGCGCAACCTCTTTGAATAAATGTGGGCATTTAGTTAGACCAATCTGGATTCCAACTTGGGCTTGCCTGTTAACTAGATGTGTGAATGTAAGCAAGTTAACTAATCTCTGAAAAGTTCAGCATCCCACCACCTTTGAAGTGGCCATAATAATATTTCTCTGGCCATAAGGGGTCAAAGAGCAGAAATTCTCTAAGGACCCAACGCGGCTGAGGATGAAGAGGGAAGAGATCAAGAATGGCTAGTACTGTGAGTGATTTTATGAATGCATTTGTTTTCTTACTGATTCTTTTATTAAAACATTTGTTTTCTTACCAAACCTTCAGCTTCCTTACCTGTCAACTGCCCAGTGACAGAGCGGCCGACTGTCCTGTGGGGATAAGTAACTACAGGCCAGAGAAAGTCCCACAACCCGGATGGAGAACAGAGACCCCAGGTTCTGTTGAGACAAAAGGAGAGGAGAGGGGTCATCAAATGGTCCTTGTGTTATATGAAAAAAAAAAAATGTTCAACATCTCTAGCAATTAGAGAAATGCAAATCAAAGCCACTGTAGTAAATGTTGGCGAGGATGTGGAGAAAAAGGTACATTCATACGTTGCTGGTGGGACTGCAAATTGGAACAACCATTATGGAAAGCAGGATGGAGATTCCTCAGAAAACTTGGAATGGAACCATCACTTGACCCAGCTATCCTGGGTCAAATGGGTCCTGACACCTCAGTTTGTATCCAAATGACTTAAAATTGGCATACTACAGTGACACAGCCAATTTAATGTTTATAGCAGCCCAACTCACAATAAACTATGGAACCTACCTAGATGCCCTTCAACAAATGAATGGATAAAGAAAATGTGGTACATACACACAATGGAATATTACCCATCCTTAAAAAAGAATGAAATTATGGCATTTGGCAGTATATGGATTTAAATTAGACTCAAGTGGCATAGAAATGACTCAAAACATGTCCATCACTTTTTTCTATAGTTTTTGTTTGTTTGTTTGTTGCAATACTAGGAATTGAACCTGGAATGCTCTGCCCCTGAGCTACATCCCCAGCCCTTTTTGAGACAGAGTCTTGCTACGTTGCCCAGACTGGCTTTCTCAACATCTTCTCTCAGCCTCGGAGTCACTGAAATTACAGGTACAAGCCCCCACACCAGGCATTCTTCAATGTGTTTTGAACATTCCTTTAATAACCAGAATTTAAATTGCCCAGGCTGGCCTTGAACTTGTGATCCTCTGGCTGGCAGGGGGGAGACAGATGTGAGTGGTGGGAATATGAAGCTAAGGGAATAACTCTATAAACGGAGCCCACTGCACTGAACCCCCACATGCTTTCACTTCTAAAAAGCAATTTACCTGCAGCCCTGCCTGGCTTCAGTCGACAGGATATGTTACATTCCTCAGCAAGCTGCCTGTTATCTGCAGGAGAAATGCAGGCCCCAAATAACACTGATCAGAGGAACACCAGTTAAGTTACCATGAAGGTGGGACTCTTGTGAACTTTACACAGACCAGATCCTTATCTACTCAGGTAGATAAGGATAATTCCCCCTAGCCATAAAATGTCCCAATTCAAACTGGTCAACATGGGCCAAAGTGACCTAGAATAGACTTGGCTCTGGGGACTTGAAAGTTTATCATCATCCTACTCTCAGTCAAAAGTCAAGAGATGGACCTGGGAGGAATTGTCTGGAAACTTCCCTGGGACCAATTTCCTACTAAACTGGGGGGCAGGAGAGATGTGCTGTCCATTTTCTCTCTGAGAGGACCCACGCCCTCCCTTGGGAGTGTCCCCTTTTCCTGTCCCTTCTCATGCCTGTTAATCTGAGCAAAATGCCTGAAACCTTTCTGACCTGATGGCAAGAAACAGGTTTTGAAGGGGTGGGACGAGGGGCCTTCATGTTGCTCCTAAAGGGCTGGGTATATTGCTCAGCAGTAAAGTTTCCCTGGGTTCAGTCCCTAGTACAAGAAAATCAAACAAACAAAAACTCAGTACTTAAAACTCAAGAGCTAGCTGGGCGTGGTAGTGTATGCCTGTAATTCCAGCCAGAAGGTTGAAGTAGGAGGACTGCAGATTTAAAGCCAGCCTCAGCAACTTAAGGAAGCCCTAAGTGAGACCCTGTCTCTAATAAAATACAAAAAAAAAAAGGGCTGGGGATGTGGCTCAGTGGTTAAGCATCCCTGAGTTCAATCCCTGGTACAGGGAAAAAAAAAAATCCAGAGATACAAAGTTTTCATATATTAAGCAATCATTTTTTAAAATATTTATATTCTTTTAACACAGTAACCTGTTTAATACATGAAACCTTCCTCCAGATATGAATGCAGTGTATTTAAATAACCAGTGTTTAACTGGAGAAGATACTTATACAGGTCAGTAATTTAACCTATTTTATTAAGTAATTACCATCACCACCAATGAAACAATTATTTAGAAACAAGTTAATGCATATTTTACATACCACATGCAAAAGAAATGTTTATATATTTTGTAGACTCTCATCTAAATACACATTTTATCATAGTAAAATTGAATTTGAAGTGAATCCTACAGTCAATGATCTGTTTTGATGATAGATGTTTCTTAAAAATTCAGTGGAGGGGGTGGGGTTGTGGCTCAGCAGTAGAGTGCTCGCCTAGCATGTGTGAGGCCCTGGGTTTGAACCTCAGCACCACATAAAAATAAATAAATAAAACAAAGGTATGTGTCCAACTACAACTAAAAAGTAAATATTTTTTTAAAAAATTCAGTGGAGGAGCTAGGGTTATGGCTCAGTGGTAGAACACTGGGTTCAATCCTCAGCATCACATAAATGTAAAATAAAGATATTGTGCCCACCTAAAACTAAAAATAAATATTTTAAAAAAAATTAAGACTGGGGCTATAGCTCAGTGGTAGAGCACTTGCCTAGCATATGTGAGACACTGGGTTCAACCCACCCATACCGCATAAAAATTAAAAAATAAATAAAATAAAGGTACTGTGTCCATCTCCAACTTTAAAAAATTTTTTTAAAAAAAGAAATTAAAGGGATACGTATAAGGTAGGGAAGGGGTAGGGGGTTAGCAAGGATGGTGGAATGTGATGGACATCATTATCCAGACATGAATTGGTGTGAATATACTTTATATTCCACAAAAGATATGAAAAATTGTGCTCTATATGTGAATAGAATTATCATGCATTCTGCTGTCATTTATTTTTTAAAAAATCAAAAAGAAAGAAAGAAAATTCACTACAATAGTGAATTACATCATGTTTAAAAAAAAAAAAAAACTCTGAACCCTTGTGCATTGCTGGTGGAAATGTAAAATGGTGCGGTTGCCGTGGAAAACGGTATGGCAGTTTCTGATAACATGGTACTTCCATATCACCAATCACTTCTACCCCTAGGTCCACATCCAAGAGAACTATAAGCAGGGACTCCAACAGATATTTGTACCCCAATGTTTCCAGCAACATTATTCAAGACTGATAAAAAATGGAAACAACCCAAGTGTCCATCAACTGAGGTACAAATAAACAAAATGTGGTACATACACACAATGGGATCTCAGCCTTAAGAATAAAGGAATGGGCTGGGATGTAGTTCAGTGGTAGAGTGTATGCTAAGCTGGCTCTGGAGTTAATTCCCAGCACCACAAAAATACAAATAAGTAAAGAAAGAAATCGGTCAATCAATCTACTAACTGCATGTTAGCAACTGATTCCTTAATTAACACCTTCAGCCTGAACTACTTCTAGGGCTGAGGGTGTAATTCAGTGGTAAAGCATTTTCCTAGCATGCCTCAGGCCCTGCATGTCTCCCCAGCACTGCAAAAGGAAGAGGAAAAGGAGGTGGGGGGGGGGGGCGCGGATTCTGGCATATGCTACAATATGGATGAACCTTGAATACATCATGGTCAGTGAAACATGCCAGATACAAAAGGAGAAATATCATAATTCTTAATTATATGGCGCATCCAGAATAGGCAAATTCATAGTTAAAAAAAAATAGAATGGTAGAGGGGGGAGGTAGGGGGAACTGGTTTCATGGGTTTAAAGTTTCTGTTAAGAATGATGAAAAATTGGCGTTATAGATAGTAGCGACGGTTACACAACATGGCTAAATGTAATTAATGTACATTTATGAATAGTTAAGATAAATAAATGTCATACATATTTTACCACAATGAATAAAATCTGCACTCAAAGAAATGAAATGTAGTTCTTCACATATCACTGATGCAGCTATAATTGGAAAAAACAATTTTTTTCTTCGAACGCGATGGGAGACATCTATAAACATACTGATGAAATGTAGGTTGAATTTTGACAAGGGAAGAAGAGAAAAGCATTAAAATTCGAGGAAAATCCAGGAGTGGTGGCGCATGCCTGTAATCTCAGCTACTCAGGAGGATTCAGCAACTTGGGGAGACCCTGATTCAAAATTTTAAAAATTTAAAAAAAAATTAAAAGGCCTAGAGATGTAGCTCAGTAGTAAAGCATCCTTAGGTTCAATCTTTAGTACCAAAAAAAAAAAAAAAAAGTTCCTGAAAAGATGACCAGTAAGCACCTGGGAAAACAGAATGATCCAAAACAGATTCAGAGAATTGAGTGTATTCCTTTGGCTGTGGCAGCTTATATGTACTGGGAGCAATGTCATGGGGACAGGAGGTGAACCAGAACCTAGCTGTAGAGGGTTGCTATGATTTGGATATCATTTGTTTAATGTAATTATTCACCAAGGGACCATTGTCATTGAAGGTATGGTCCATAGGGTGGCACTATTAGGAGCTAATAGAACCTTTGAAAGGTGAAGCCTTGTGAGAGGTCATCGGGTCACTGGGGCATATCTTGGTAGGGACTGTGGGACCTTTGCCCATTCTCTCTTTGCTCTACTTGGACACATGATGATTTTGCTCCTACATACACTTCCACCATGATGTGTGCCATCTGCTGTCCTCGCCAGAACTGAGGCAGTCAGTACCCGTGTCCTTGAACCTCCAAAAACTATGTGCTAAATAAACCTTTTCTCTCTACAAGTCAGATTCACTGGAGTCATGAAATGCTAACTAGTACAAAGGTCTTGAGTGTGAAGTTCAGGGAGTGTGTACATTTGCCTAATCTATAACCACATTCTAGTTGAGCTGTGGTTTCAACAAAGAAAAATCAATGGCTAGAAGCCAGCTGACTTCGGAGGCGGTGGGGATAGATTCAGGGTTGGCCATGGGAGGATATACTTCCTAAGAAGACCATTAATTTCAATCTGGGAAGAAAACATTTTTCTCTGCCACCCCAACTGAGCCTCGCTGTGTGCATGGCAAGACCATCTATCAAGGAGGCACCAACATCTGCATGAAGGCAAGCGATCCTGCCCTCACACAAAGGAGTACTGCTGGCCACACGTGCACGATTTTACAAAGTGACCATAAAAATGTTTCCGCAATAATAACTTTTTTTTCGTAATTCATGCAAATAAATTCTGTCCAGCAAACTGGTCACTTTCATAAGAAATATTTTATTGTCTTCTATTCTTGGCTAAGGGAGATTCATTTTTAGAACCTTCAACAGATGTTCACAATGTTTAATGTCTTCAGTTCACTGTTGAGAATTTTTAATATATTCTCTTCAAATTATTACCATATTGAGCCAATATTTAATATAGTATTAAAAGAATGAGCCAGTGCCGTGGTGCATGTCTGTCATCCCAGTGGCTCAGAAGGCTGAGACAGGAGGATCACAAGTTCAAAGCCAGCCTCAGCAAAAGTCAGGCGCTAAGCAACTCAGTGAAACCCTCCTGTCTCTAAATAAAATACAAAATAGGGCTGGGGATGTGGCTCAGTGGTTGAATGCCTCTGAGTTCAATCCCCAGTACAAAAAAAAAAAAAAATGTCCAGGAACCTCACAACCATTTGGGGCACATTTTTCCTACAGAAAATTACACCTGACCACATATTTACAAATGCATCTATGGGAATGCATCTGTGGTCAAGTTGAAGGTTTCCTGTATTTGAATTCTGCTGTCCCCATGGATGGCTAGATAAGTTCTGAAAATCAAAATGACTGTAAAGATACAGAAATAAAAGTATACATGTGGACTAGGTAAAGAACCAGGGCAGCTGAGATCAATGTTCACATAAAAGTGGTTTCACCCACTTTCAACCAGCAGCAGCAACCAATTTAGGAGATGGCTAAAGTTATTACTAGATTCTCTGACCTACTTGTAGAGAAGTTAGTTTCTAATTTGGGCACCATGGCAGATCTGCTCTGCAGTACCATTAACAAAATCCTTTAGAGATAAAGGTTGGAACAAATGTACTGAAGGTCCTTAACAAAGTGGCATTTGGTATAAACCCTAAAATCAAATGTATGGTCTTTGTTTTCTAAAAAAGGAAGAAGGCACACTAATTATGAGAGTTATCTCTGAAATCAGAGTGGTATATCCCCCAAATGAAAGACTCAAAGAGGATAGTTGGGAAGAAACAAGATTCTGATGCTACTGACGTGTCTCTAAAAATTTCAATATCTTCTGCACCAGGTAGCCATTGAAAGGGTATCTGATATCATAGAAACTGAAAACTAAAGACTTTATAAATGCCAAATATCCATGATTTTTTTAAATTTGGGAACTGCCAATCTGAGAATAACTGAACAAGGCATAAAGGTGTTTCCCCTTGAGTCCTTACTCTTAGTTTCTCAAAAACTGGAATTTATTTTAATATCTAGATTTTTCACATGTGGACTTCATCCTCAATTGTAACTTTCCACAGAAAAGATACCTCCAGTCTCTTGCAATTTTTTGATCTTACAATATAAATTTATGGCACTTATCAATTTTACAATTTATCACAATGTGCTATCCTCTAGGAAAAAACCATAGATTTACAAAATTGAGAATAATAATAATGTAAATGTTTCCCTTGATTCCAATAGTGTTTGGAAAAAGTAAAGAAAAAGTTCCGTGCATGAAATGTGTTTGATAATAATGCAAAGATTAAAACATCATAAGCCATAAAGTGGTTACTTTCTTGCACATAAACCCAAGTTGTTTGATAAAGCAATGAGCACTGTTATTCACAGCAAATTCTTCTCTCTCATGAGTCATCCCTGGATTCCACCCTCTTACACACACACACACACACACACACACACACACACACACTGACCTGTGAGAATTCACACTGACCTGTGCGGGGGCCTCACTCCTCATGAGATAGCGAACCTTACTGAGAATACACTGCTGGAGTTGAGCCCAGGAAATAGTTCTGTCTTCCCTTATCAGGAAAGGTGGTCCAAATCTGAAAATCCAAGGAAATCAGGTTATTTTATTTTAGCAGAGGAGAGTCCCCAACAATACCCAACAATCATGAGTGTTGGCTCCACTCATGGGTCCTTTCCATTGGGTAAGTAAAAGGTTAAGAGTCAAATACAATACAAAACCACCAATCAGAAAGCGTCATCACTTAAGAGACAGGGCCTTGAGTGTCTGTGTATACAAGAGGCCCAGAGATGCAAAGCTTGGGAGGTACTGCAATGCAAAAAGACTACTCCACTGACTGGTAAAATCCACAGTAGAAGAAAGAGACCAGAACATCAGAACCAGAGGGAAGCAGGGTGGAGATGAATCCAGATGACACTATTGTCAGCTTTGTATTTGGGGAAAACTCTCATTACTGGAGATATTTTCCACATCCCAACCTACAGAACTCACAGAAATGAACTTGTCGGGCAAAAGAACACTGGATGTGCCTGTGGTTGCAGGTCCTAACTCTGCCTGAGCATCACCAACCTTATTCACTCTTCCCTGATCATGGGAAGAGCCAATGTAGCAAGAATGTGCAGTAAACTTTGCTAAAACACAGCACAAAGATGAGGTGATGTGTGTGCGCACCCATTGAATGGAAGATCAGTTCATTTAACTAACCCTGTATTATTAAACATTCAAGTTGCTTCCAATTTTTTATTTAAATACTACTTGCTTATGGCAGGAACTGCAATGTATTCTCATACATACACGTTGGCTATAGATGACCAATCGTTCCTTTGGAATAAAGTTCTGGAAGTGCAAAGGCAAGAAGGCCAAAGCTGTTTATCCGCAAACTGCCCTCCAGAAAAGCAATACCAATTTGCTAGTGAGGCAAGTTCCCAATTCTCTGGACTCTTGCCTGGAATGAGTATTTTCAATTTCTAAAGATTTCTCAATAATTTGAAAGGCTAACAATAGTATTTTGCCATTGCAATCAGAATTTCTCCTACTAATGCACTGAATATTTTCACCGATGCCTGTATTTCTTCTGTGAACTCGGGTTCATCTCTGTGGTCTCATTTTACTGAGAGTGTATTTATCTCATTAGTTTCAGAGAGGGGAGAGCTAGGTTTGTACATAATGGACATGAATCCTTCCCCTCTCACAGGACATGAATATTTTTTCTCATTTGTCTTTTACCTTTTAAATTTGTTTTTTGTTTAAAATGTTACATATATTTTAAAGATTAACCTTTTCCTTTATGGCCTCCTCCTGCCTTACGTGTTCAGTAGCCCCACCACCCAAAGACATAAATATTCCCCTACACTGTCTTAGATAGTTTATGGTTTCCTTTTCTATAATTACCTCTCTGATCAATCTGTGATTTATTTATATAAAGTTATGGCAAGGATAAAGAATTGATTATTTAAAATAAAACAAAGGAAAAAAGTCAATTAGCTAAGCATATTTACTGAATAATTCATTCACTCCCTAAAAATGTAAAATAGTTACCATTTTATCATAATAGATACTTTAGATTATAGTACATTGATTTAATTGTATATATTATAGTATTTTAATAAATAAATTTTATCCTGTTTTAATCATAATTCCTCTTTATCCTTCCCTCTTTTAATATTTTCTGTTTTTTCTTAACAACTTATTATTCCAGAAAAATTTTAGAAACATTTTTATCAATCTAAACATATCTTCTCAGAATTCCATCTCTCTCTCTTTTTCTTTTTTGGCAGTGCTAAGAATTGAATCCCAGGCTTTGTATATTATTAAGCATGTGCTCTACCACTGAGTTACATCCCCAGCCTGGGATTCTATCTTTTAACACGTTGTTTGTATTTTAAAAATTTTATTCTATTTTGAGTAGATAAATAATTACACATATTTATAGGGTTGTTTTAATACATGTATATAACATGGAATGATCAAATCAGGGGAATCAGAATATCCATTACCTCAAAACATTTATCATTTCTTTGTGAACACTATTTAGACCTAATAAGAAAGCTATCTGGTTTTATTTATTTGTAAGGTAACCAAACGATTGCTTTCCTGAATGTTTCCATCCATTCTAATCACTTTCCGTTTCTTGATTTTTCTGGACAGACTACCCTATAATATACAAATAGTGGCAATTTCATTTCCTCTTTCATTTATTTATTTATCTGTTTGGTTTTACTCATTGAGATGGAATCTTGCTAACTGTCCAGGGTGGCCTTGAACTCATGATCCTCCCACCTCAGCCTTCCAAGTAGCTGGGACTACAGGTGTGTACCACGACACCCTGCTTTTTGCAGTACTGGGAATTGAATCCCCAGGGCCATGCACATGCCAGACCAATGTCCTGCCTCTGAGTAAACACTCTTTCCTCTTTTCTTAGAGCCAATTTCTTTGAGCTCAGCTGACCGCACTGCCAACCCTCACAACACAATATAAAATAATAGTTGGTGAGGGCAGGAATAATTGTTCTTGCAATTAGCAAGAAAACTCTGATGTTTAATTGAGGATGATGTTAGCCATCTGCTGAAAGCAATTATTTCTAATTCTCTTGTTCGGAAAAATCCCTTACTCCCTTCTCCTGGTTTATTAACCTTGGGAGTGGATATTTAATTTTATCAAGTTAAAATTATTCTAGACAGAATCCCAAGTACAGGTCCACAAATCCCAGACATGAGGTAGAAAAAAAAAAAAAAAATGGTTGAAGTGAAACATACCTGCTAGCCTGTTGCCCTGACCCCACCAGGTTACAGAAAAGGATTAGCACCTTGTTCTCACTGTGGAGAGGCAGGGAGAATCGCTGACCCTCTCGGGCTGCCAAGCGTGGAGACCCCAACAGACCCGATGGATGAGCTGGAGGAGACAAAGGGTGTTAAAGAAGCTCCTTCGCTGGCCCAGAGCCTTGGCTTCTCTACCCTCTTCCTTTCTGAGCATCTATTCTCCACCAGAGGAAGGACATCGGGGTTATCAAGCAGGAGACAATAAGGTTCATGGTACCTGTGCCATCAGGCATCTGCTACACAAAGATCATATGCATGAATTTGGAGTTGTATTTGGCCAATAATTTTAAAATCAAGGCAGAGGTTTAATGGACTCCAAAAGTTGCTTTTATGCCTTGATCAGAGGGCCCCCAGACCAAGATGGTGAAAGGCTTATTTATGGAGGAAGAAGAGGGATTCGACTATTCTCTATTGTTCCAGATTCCAAAGCTCAGAGTGTCCCTGTGGATTCAGAGAACATCAAGCATCCAGTTCTCCCAGCCTGCAGCCACAGTCGGCTGAGGATTTGGAGCCAGAGCACAGGATTCATAGGGGGTATGGCAGTCATCCCTTACCAAAAGGAGACACATCCCAAGGTGTTCCACAGATGCCTGAAACCTCAGATACTACCAAACCCTTAAAAGCTATTGTTTTTTTCTTATACATTTATGCCTATGATAAAGCTTAATTTATAAATTAGGCACAGAAAGGGATTAACAACAACAAAAAAACAAAACAGAAAGAAAAATTATGGGTTTGGGCTATATCTCAGTGAAAGAGCACTGTCTAGCATGTATGAGGCCCTGGGTCTGATCCCCAGCACCACCAAAAAAGTTATGATATGTCACAATGTATCCCACTATTATGTGTAAACATAATGTACCAATAAAATATGTAATCATTCTAAAATTTATGAGTTGTTATTTCTGGAATTTTCCATTGAATATCTTCAGCCCACAGTTGAACATGCGTAACTGAGACTGCAGATAAGAAAGCCATGGATAAAGTGAGGACAGTTATTATACTATAATACTGGCACAAAGTCCTTTAAAGAAGAAATAGGAGCCTTCTAGACTGGCTAATTGGGCCAAAAGAGAGACTATTAGAAATTGACTGTGTCAGTTTAAGATTTAGGAAACTATGCATCAGGAAGTGGAAGTATTAACAAAAAAGTCATTTAACTAATTTCTTGGGCCATCTACTGCACAAATTTGTAGAAATTTTACTTCAAGCACAGACCTTGAATCATAAGCATCCCAGAAATGAAGATCCTACCAGTACCTACACGAAATAGTGCTTCTCAAACTGCTGTCCCTGAATCAGCAGCATCCAAATCTCCTGGGAACTTGTTAGATATGTGAATTCTCAGCTCCATCCCTACTCAAGGCCTACAGAATCAGAAACTCTGAAGACAGAGCCCAGAAATCTGTTTTAAGAAGCCCTCTGGGTGATTCTAATATTCACTAAGGTTCTGAAAACCCCACTATTAGCTGAATAATTTCTAATATCAACCTGTGCACATCAAATTGCAAGAAAAATAAACCTGAAACTTTAAACACTAAACTCAATGTTTTGTGACTCAGCACTCAAAGAGGACCTCTCAAACCCATAACTCATTATATCCAAATAAAAATTATTGAAAGCACTATTATACCTGAGAGAGTCCCTTGGCCCGGTGACGGAGGAACTTGGAAGGCATACACATTATCTCCCTCTGCAATGGTATTCAAGTCCTCTTCATCAAAGAAAGACCGCTGGAATCCATTGGGATACAGTTCAACCAAGATCACCTGAAATGAGAAGGATCATTTTTCCTTTTGATTTCTCTAAGAGAACCTAACAGATAAGAAATTGAAGTGACAGAGAGTCTTAAAACTCCTTTTACCCTTTCCTTGCAAAGTGCCTACACATTTTAAATAATAAAAATCAGATTGACCACAGACATCTCAACCACAATCCATACCCCCCAAAAAAACCTTGAAAATCTAAAGTTTTATACCCAGCTAAAGTATCATTGAATAATAATAATAATTACTATTATTATTATTATTAAATAAAGACCCTTCAGATAAAAACTGAGCATTTACCACTTACAGAAGTTCAATGAGAGAATTTCCAAGTAATTTTACTAACCTTTTTTACATTATGCCATATGTGAAAAATATGTTTATGGAACACAGATTAAACACAGGAGATGGTTTGGTAATGGAGGAGAAGGGTGACTACCTTGAGGATCCTAGCTGCCCCAGACCTAACTCTGCTGCCCCAAGACCAAAGTAATCAATAACCTAGCATTTATAACATTTATAACTATATAATCCATTCAAGGCACATTTGCTGGGAAATTCTCTTGTAAAAGATACATTTCAATATTTAGGGGAAAAAACCGAATCAGAAGGAAAATGAGTTGTAAGAAGAAAGGATAAATCAAAGAAAATGGAAAACATAATGAATACTACTTTTGCTACAAGTAGGAGAGAAGGGAAGAGGTATTAGGTTACAAAAAATAATACCTATCTATAGTTGTCTAAATCAAAAAGGTAAAAGGGTAAGCCAGACACAGTAGTGCATGCCTGTAATCCCAGAGGCTCAGGAGGCTGAGGTAGGAGAATCACGATTTCAAAGCCAGCCTCAGCAACTTAGAAAGGCCCTAAGTAACTCAGCGAGACCCTGTCTCTAAATAAAATATAAAAAAGGGCTGGAAATGTGGTTCAGTGATTATGCATCCTGGATTTACACCCCAATACCAATAAATAAATGTAAAAGTAAAAAAGGGACAAGGATGTAGCTCAGTGGTAAAGTTTCCTGGGTTCAATCTCCAGTTCCAAAACAAAAACTACTTTAAAAAAAAACAGTATAAAGGTAATTAAAATACACCAAGATCTTAACATTAGCCTTTGTTAATGATGCATACTAACATTTTTATAATAAACATTAAAAGCAATAAATAAAATATATATGTCCCAAATCACAAGACAAAAAGTTGTGAATTCAAAAGAAGCAATAAAGCTGTAAGAGTCAAAAAAAACAGGAAAAGCAGGGTGAGTAAAAATCATAAAATAAGATGGCAGAAATACTTTTAAATGTATCTGTAATCATAGATTTTTTTTTTAAAGTGGAAAAAACTGCTAACAAAAAAAATCAAAATAGATTTCAAGTGCCACTCAAAAAAGTTCCTACATGCCATGCATGACAGTGCATGCCTATAATCCCAGTGACTAGGGACACTGAAGCAGGAAAATCCAAAATTTGAGGCCAGCCTCAGCAATTCAGCAAGACCCTGTCTCAAAATTTTAGAAAAAAGTGAGAGGCTGGGGTTTTAGCTCCATGCTACAGTGGGGTGAAAAAATAAAAGAAATTCCTATACTAGCATCCCCAGTTTTTTCTATCTCCTTGAACTAATATATCACACCTTTCACATT